GAAGAGCACCATGCTCTGAAGACTCCTGTTCAGAAAAATGTGTTAGGTGTCCTGCTGCCTTCAGGGTCTTAGGGATATAAAAGTAGCCGCACGGGCTATGTCTGCTGAAACTGTAACAGGGGAAAGTCCATAATACGATTGAATCCTAAGCACACAGGTGAAGACCCACAGGCAGGCAACCCAATTCACATTGGGGTGCCCTATAATAAAACTACAGCACTAGTGACTGTGGCCGCCTGGGCTGGCAGTGCTGGGAGAGGCGATGGGATGGAGGAAAGACAGCTAGAAGTCCACCAGAAGGGGAGACCTAGAGGGGCTTACACTCCCCTCAGGGAGTGTGGCCCCTTCCAAAGGCAGCCTCACATTTATTGAGGATCAGGTTCATTCAGGGAAGGTGTGGGGAATGTGCTTGGGGGATGTGGACTGGGCATGCATAAATGTGAGGCACAAACTAGGAGGGAGTGAATAGGGGCTGTTGCCAGGGGGCTCCATTGTTCCTGCTGATCAAAGCATCCTATCTCTAGCCCGTGTGTGTGTGTGTGTGTGTGTGTGTGTGTGTGTGTATAATTTTCTGACAAGGTGGTCTAGCTGGTTATACTAATTTGGCCATAATAATGTCTGCCTGTTATTTTCAGCAGATACTGCTTTTCTCGTATGTTCCTCATACCAACATTTTGTCCCGGTGAGAGGCCTCCTGCCTGACTCTACATTCTAGCAGGAACTTTGGGCCCCAAGACAGTATCTTGAATACAAAGCGGCTGGGGAACCCACAAGCACCAAAGAGAGCAGCTCAAATTACAATATTCCTGATAGGTACTAAACTCTTCCCCTAGAGTATCTGTCTTATCTAATCCTCCCAGACCCCCATGGTGAAGTTACCTGTTGAGTGTGACCAGATGGGCAACACCACCAGAAGCGGGGCGAAGGGGGGCTTTGCATTCAGGTGTAAAGCACCACTAAAAAAAAAACAAAAACAAAACAAAAAAAAAACTGAACCTAAAGCCTATATAAGAGACCCTTACCCCTACAGGACTCAGCAGTAGCTGCAGACCCCACCCTCGGAAGCTCTGTCTCAGCTGCTGCTGGGAGCAATAAACTCTGCTTATTCAGCCTTTCTGCCTCCCCGCCTCCCCCACCCCACACACAGAAATCTGGACAAAACGTTACCATCATGACTCCCCTTTCACAGATGAAAAGTCAAGGCACAGAGAGGCTGAAGAATGCACCCAAGGTCACAGAGCTAGTGAGCGGTAAGACTCAAACTTTAGTCCTAGGACCTTGCTATCCGTCAGTAGACTCTTTGGCCAAATAGGGCCACCTCTAATTCTAGGGTTGTGAGCACTCACCCTAATAAAGGCCCATTAGACTCAGGTGGAGACACATTCTGCACCCAGAGTCTCATATCCTTTCAAAATGAACCTTCCTGGGAACCAGTTCTAAATGGTGCATAGGGGTCCCAGGCCAAGTTGGCATCTGGATGAATAAGGAAAGCACACTTTCTTCCTATACCCCTACCCTTACTAAATAGACCCAGGAATCTTTGCGCTGATGACTGCTACAAAATGTTCTGGGAACTCCTTAAAGCAGAGTTTTGCACAAAGTGACTGGTAAAATAGGGGAGATGGGAATATAGGCTAAATTCCCCATCCTGATCCCCCAGGGAGCTCACCTGGGACAAGTAGCTGGCTTCAGGTCAGGTTCTGCTCAGTGGGAGGAGTGGAAATGAACAGGAGGGAGAGGCCCACCTGCAGAGCAACCTCTCAGGGAGGGGGGAGGGATGGAGTGGGAGGAAGGGAGAGGACTGGAAAGAGGGAGGGAGGGAGGCGGGAGCAGAGTGAGTACTGGAAAGACTCAGGCAGTGAGACAGGGCAGCCCCACTGTATTTCGCAGGCTGCTGTCCAGATACAGCAGAAGGTTGGACGTGTTGCCCTGGCCCCACCTCCCAGCGCACTCTGCAGCTGCTGGACAGGACACAAAAGCATGAGACAGAGACACCATCTCTGCTGAGTGTACCAAACTCTGCCCTAGGGAGCCACTGTGACAGAAGCCAGGGCAGGCGCCAGCTGCTGCCTGCCTTTCCCAGGTAAGCAACTATTTGTACTAACTGAGCAGAGTGGAGCAAGGCTGTGGGGAGAGAAGAGGGCAGGAAGGGGCCCTGGGACGGGCCTGGTACAGTCTATGGAAGAAAGAAAGCAGCAGGACAGAGGCGCTGAGCAAGTCCTGAGGCAGGCTTCTGCTGGGGCTCTCCAGGAGAGAACAGGGCCCGGGGTGGGTGTGGGGACAAGTTCCAGAAGAGGTTGTACCTTGAGGCATCTGTGCTTGGGGAAAGCAGAGGGGCCACCACACAGTGTTGGAGACCAGGAATATTTCGGGAAACCCAATCCTGAACCTTGGCCTTCCCCTCAGGCTTCTTGGTGGTGGAGAGGGTGCTCCTGGCAGCACCAGGAAGCAGGACGGATTCATAACCGATATGGCCGCAGTCAGAGGCAGGATGTCCCAGCCTAACAGGCCATCTTTCAGGCTGCTGAGAATGAGCCTGCAGAGGGCTGTGTGCTGCCCTGGGGGGTGGGGAGGAGAGTGGGGCTATACAGAAGGCTGCTCTGTGAGCTGGAGGTGGGGTGGGGAGCAGGTGAAGAAAAGTGGTCTCAAGAATTCCACATGAACACAAACACATGTTGTCCCGGGAGAAAAACACCCCCCAAAAGGCCAAAAGTCCCTTTCTGCCCTGTTGGGGACTCCTGATCCTGAGCAGCCGCTGGCCTGAGTCATCAGTCCGTCAGGGCTGTGTCCGCTCTGTTATCCGCACACAGACATCCATGCTCTGAGGTCCCGCCACACTGGGACCTGCCATGGGTAGAGCGGAGAGTTTGGGGGTGGAAGTGATCCCAGGCATCAGGGCGCACAGGAACATGATCAGACACTGAACCGCAGTTCCTGTGGCATCCCTTCTCCTGGGCCTTCTATACCCAAGTAGGAAGCGCAGCTTCCTCCCCAGGAAGCTGTTTCCAACACAAGCAGTAACTGAGCTTCTGGTCAGGAGCTGGGGAAAGAACATGCAAAGAGATGGGGAGCAGTTTATCAGGACCTGGTCTGAACCCAGACTGGTAGGACTGTCTACCTAGACACCCCCAGGAGGCCAGCTGGGGTACAGAGAGCTCTCAGCACAAGTTATTGGGCACAGCCAACGCACAAGGGCTTCCACAGACCAGGCGTTGAGAGTCGTGTCGCCATTCCTAGGCCATTGAAAAAAGTCCAGGCTGCTGGTGTGCACGCATCCGGTGACCCAGGGACAGCTGTCAAATGCATGGACACCTCTCACAGAGGGAGGAGGTGCCACAGTGCCTCCTGACTCAAGGGGGCGAGTGGGAGCCAGGCCAGGTGCTGAGGGGGCTCCCCTCCCCCTCTGGAAGCTGGAGAACTTTCCAACAGTGAACAGTCAGTGACTCACACCCTTGACCACCCGGGGCAGGGATCCCCACTGTAGCTTCATGGCTCCCTCCTAGGGCAATTTGGGTCAACAAGAGCAGGGAGGAGCCCAGGGGAAGACTCCACAGCCCAGGCCCAGAAAACACAAGCGCTTTGATGTCTGTGGAGAGCAGGGGAGCTCCCGCAGGGTGCTGGGCAAGGCCTCAGCCTGCAGGCTGCTTCAGAGGCAGCACAGCTCAGGCTTAAACCAGTGGCCTTGAAGTTTAGAGAAACCCCCAGGCTGCTGCTGTCTAAGAGCTGTGTGAAGCCAGGCAACTGAGTTACTCCTTTCAGCCTGGGTTTCCTGGTTATAAAATGGAGAAGAGCGCATCATAATGGCTTGGTTTGTAATATCTGGCATTCTCGGGGAGTTCTCAGGAGGCTTCCTCTGGACCCCAGCAAGCCCAGCCCTCAGATCAGAACCTGCCTCCTGCTCCCTGAGAGCCCCTCATTCCAGCCACACCTGCTGTATGAATCACTCACTCGAATTACCCTTCCCGGCCACCCCAGGAGGCTTTCACTGTGTGTCATCAAGCCAAAATAAAAGCAGAGAAAACTCAATGTCATCCTTCTCTCGGGTCTTTCTGTCAAAACCCTAAAGCCATGCTTCTCAAATCAGGGTATGTGCAAAAAATACCCTAGGGGCATATGGGGTTTGCAGGAAATACATGAGACCATGATTAAATATCATGTCTTTGTTGTGTGGGGGAGGGGAGGGCTGTTGAGCCAGTGGTTTAAATACTTAAACTGGAGGGAATTTCAAACTCTATTTTTATGTTTAAAAAAAGAAAATGCGCATTCATGTGAATGCTGAAGATGAAGCAGTATTTCAAACACAGCAAACTTTCAGTGGGCAACCCCTTCTCCCTAGGAATTAAGGAAGGACCCAGCAGTTGAAGGCTCTTCATTACAAAGGCCTTTTGTACAAAGGTGTAAGCAATGAGTGGCAGCTGAGTATCTCCTGGGGAACATGCCCCATGTTCCCAAGGGCAGCTTCTTTTCTCTGGAAGAGGGAGGGGGGCCCTCACGGCCCAGTGCCTCGGAGGTAATCTAGGCTGATACCATGGCAAGATGGCCAGCTAGGGGCAGGAAGCCAGCCTGGTAGTCCTGGATGGTGGATGTAAGAGACCTGGGAAGAACCAGACCTAGTTTATCCCTATGTTCGGAGCTTACACCCAGCAGGCAGTTGGGGTTTGAGTCCCCCAACAGCAGGGAACAGCTGGCACTCAACTAATGTCCTATTGTTGCCCTCCCTGATAGCACTCTCCTCTGGGGCTTCTAGCAAGGGGAATGCCCAAAAGGATTGAGGATGACATTGTGGGTGTTGCAGTAGAGCCCAATGCCTTCCCCGTAAGGTGCAACAATATGGCCATCGCACTTACCTGTGGCAACTCATACAGTGAGAGCCTCGGCCCTGTGGTCATGAAGGTGTCTAAGTGTATTCTTAGGGACTTCCTTTTCTGTTCCTTTTGCAGGTATCCTGAGCCCAGCAGAGGTCCTGTCTAGGAGGAGCAGGAACAGAAGTGCCTGAAACCATGGCTCAGGTGGATCCCCAGAACAGGTGGGGTGCAGTAACTCTTCTCTGCAGCTCGATCGAGGAGGTCCATGCCCCCCAGATGTTGAGCATGAACTTGGAGAGTGAGGATGAGGATGGTGGGGATACAGGAGATGGAGGCGGCGGCAGGGACCTTGATCACCAGCTTCCTCCAAGAGGCAGCTCCCAAGTGACAAATGGCCATGCCCGTTTGCTATGGCAGCAGCCACCTGGCAAGGAAGAAGAGAAATTTTCTGAACCCGTTAGCACTGAAGGTTTTGGGGGAAACCTAATGCTGATGCCTGGGAAGAAGGTGAGTTGGAGGAGAGATGCGTCAAAGATCCCCCAGACCCAGGACTCTCCGAGTACCAGTGTGGTTCCAGGTACCCTCCCCAGCAGCCTCTCACACAAGTTAAGGCAGAGGCAACATTCTAGGGACCCATTAGCTACTGAGGGTGCTGATGGAGACTTAATGGCAAACCCACACAACACCATGAGCGTCCCATCCAGCTTGCCTGGCACGGGAAGGCACTTTGCACAGAAAGGTGTAGGCACATCTCCAGACAATTCTCCGGTGTGTTTCTCCAAGCCTGGGAGCAGCTGGAACCTTCCCATGCAGGAGACACACACACCCTCCCAGAGGTCGGCCACCTCTGCCAATCTGGCAGCTGCTGTGTTGACCAAAGCACCGACAAAGGGCTGCAAGGACCAGAACCCCGCAGGGACAGGTCAGGGTGGCCAAGGGCAGGCAGTTGCCTACAAGTGCTTGCGGGAAGGGCAGGCCTCCCCAAAGTCCTGCAAGCTGCTGAATTCAGCCCAAGCTCCCAGCAACAAGCCTTACGCCTGTGAGCTGTGCGGGAAGGCTTACTCCCACCGCGGCACGCTGCAGCAGCACCGGCGCCTGCACACCGGTGAGCGACCTTACCGGTGTCCCTTCTGCGACAAGGCCTACACCTGGGCCTCTGATCACCGCAAGCACCTCCGCACCCACACGGGCGAGAAACCCTACCGCTGCCCGGACTGCGGGAAGGCCTTCGTGCGCTCGTCGGACCTGCGCAAACACCAGCGCAACATGCACAGCAACGACAAGCCCTTCCCGTGCAGCCAGTGCGGTCTGACCTTCAACAAGCCGCTGTCGCTGCTGCGCCACCAGCGCACGCACCTGGGCGAGAAGCCCTTCCGCTGCCCCGCCTGCGACCGGGAGTTCGCAGTGGCCAGCAGGATGATGGAGCACCAGCGTGTGCACTCGGGGGAGCGGCCCTTCCCCTGCCCGACCTGTGGCAAGTGCTTCACCAAGTCCTCCAACTTGCTGGAGCACCAGACGCTGCACACGGGCCAGCGGCCCTTCAAGTGCGCGGATTGCGGGGTGGCCTTCGCGCAGCCCTCACGCCTCGTGCGCCACCAGCGCATCCACACCGGCGAGCGGCCCTTTCCCTGCGCGCAGTGTGGCCAGGCGTTTGCCCGCTCCTCCACCCTGAAGCGGCACCAGCAGATCCACTCGGGCGAGAAGGGCTTCCTCTGCGCTGAGTGTGGCCGGGCCTTCCGCATTGCTTCCGAGCTGGCGCAGCACATCCGGGTGCACAATGGGGAACGGCCCTATCAGTGTGAGGACTGCGGCCAGGCCTTCACCAGGTCCAATCACCTTCAGAGACACCAGGCCAAGCACAGGTGCAAGAAGGAACCCGTCCTCGTTTGCTCTGATGAGTGAGGGATCTGCCAGAGCACTCTCGGGGAGGGCGAAGACCTCGGGGCTTGGACCCCACCTTCGTGAAGGAGCCGCTTACATGTTTTGCCAACTGGACTCACTGGTCAGACTCTTCTGGTGGTCACCAGCCATGTAGAAGTCCCGTTTGGTTTGCTGCTTGCCCTGGTGCACAGCAGCTGGAGCCTTAGCACCCAGGTATATGGTTTGCTGCTTTTGCATCTGAGAGGCCATATTTTATTAGCAAAGGGTAAGATAAGGCAGGGAGAGCAGCTCTAGGTGGGAATTCTCCTTGCTTGCTCAAGTCAATCAGAAATTATAGAATTATACCCTGGATACTGTCACGGATATAGTAAGGGGGAAAATGTCATGTCCTGCCCTTACAGCCACAAGCAGATGCTGAGAAGAAGGCGCAGGGAAAGGACTTCCGTGTTTACTTGCGTAAGAGAACCCAGAGCAGTTTGTATCATAGATTCTTCGAAAGCCACAAAGCTCCACCAGGACTAACTCAGCTCCAGCCAGCCAGCGCATCTTTTTACCCTTAGGGATGACTTTATAAGTTTTGCCTTTGAAGCAAAGACCTTTAAACATAAAGACAGGGAGATGTATGTCCTTTGTTTTGGAACTAGAACTCTGAAGTCTGGGGCAGACTGAGCCCCTGCTAAGGAAGACTGTTCCTCCTCACAGTGGCTCTTGTGACCGGAGTTAACCTGACTCTCACCCACAAAATGCACATGTACCTTTTCTCCAGACACCTCTTTTCTGATCTCCACCCTGGGAGTTTACATATTAAGTAATACTTACTGAGGAACCTTCCTACTTATATATTAATTTCTACATTTGGGCTTAATATGATTCATGAAAACTTTCAGTGTATTTGAACATGCCAGGATCACTAACTGATTTCAAGTAAATAACACAAAGTAGCCCCTTGCTGAACTGCCAGTTCAGTTGGCTGTGTTTCAAAGTCCTTCAAACCAGATTGACTCACAGTTCTGCTCTAGTGAGGTTACTGTAACAAGCCAGTAGTTCTTAGCCTTATATCTCAATGGCGAGAGAAAGAATTGGTAGTTTTTATTGAGGCTATCTTTATACCTAAAATCTCTACCAAAGGGTGCCAAATCTAAATTTCCTTTGGACTAAACCTGATTCAAATCCAGTGTGACTGCTACATGGCATTCACATGTTTGATGCAATAAGAAGTGATAGGTGTTGACATGCTTTGTTTGATAAAGGTGACCTGAGGGTAAGAGGCCTGATTACAGGAATGGAAGTTTTCTATATTAAATCCCTTAACTACAGCTACATGTCCAAATGAGTTAACTTGCAGGTACATGATGGAGAGGCACCCAGGGATCCCTAAATATTAAGGGATGAACACTAAAAGGGGCCCAGCCATCTACAAGACAAAGCAAAGGAAGCAGACTCCTATTGTGAAAGAGCTTCAAAAGAATTAGTGAGTACAGAGAGAGAGAGAGAAGAACAGATATTAACCCCTGAAGTTACCCTTTTCCTCATGGGCAAATGCCCAGACAGGCAGGGTTGTTGTTGCCGAAAGATTTGCCACAAGTCTAAGGTACCCAGAGAATTCAAAATATACCAAATATCACCCCATTAAGTCTGGAAATTCACTGTCATCATCTCTGCCAAGAACTAGGAACAACCCCCATGTGTGTCTTGTCCACATATCTCTTCCAAGTCTTTTCCGAATGTCTCTCCTCCATGTGTCTCCTGTTAGCATCCTCAGAAATACCAGGATGCAAGTAAGAGCTGAAAATCAACGTCCCAACCCACATGTGTTCATTAGCTAAACCCCCTAGTTCCCAGCAACCCCCATTCCATTCAGGAAGTCCGATTCATGGCATGCTGAGGCTTGTAACTCAAGATGACTGTATATAAGTGGGAGCAGAAACAATGGCACCTCCCCTTCATAGAGGTGTATCTGTAACAAGCTGGTTCTGGGTCTGGCACAAGAACAGTGGTTAGGTTCTTAGCTCATCCCCACTGTCTATCAGGGATAAGAAGCTGGGCTTCAGCTTCAGCTTTTGCATTGGCAAAATTGTTATTATAATAATGGGGTAATAGAAGGAGTCATCCTATTAGAAGAAATTTGATCACTGCAAAGGCATTAGGTTGGTAGAGAATTCAGAAGACTCAACCATAATCTTGTGACGATGAACAGAGTAAAAGCTAGTGTATTTTTTTCTAGTTCATCAAGGAAATATTCGAAGACTGAAGTTATGCTTTTCTTTGTATTCTGTTTTAAATGATGGCCGTTAGTACAGTTTTAAGTAGCTTAAGGTTTTGGTTTGATTCTATAAATGTTTTGAGGCAGCTCTTAGAATGACATAGGAACTATGTGAGCTGTCAGCCTTAACACTGGCTGACAGGTATGCAGTGCTTAAAACCTACTTTTCGAGCTTATCATGTGATCTCATGCCCAGCCAGATTGGGACCAGTGGTGATGACTACATTCTACCTATTTACATAAGTAAATAGACAGTATAAGAATATGAAAAATAGGCAATTTGATGAGACCACAATAGATCTACTAGAAAACCTTCTGACTTGGATATGGTAGACTCAAATTAACAAACAGGTTTTGATGATGTCCTATAATCTCATTTCTACAGATGAAATGTAGACTCTAGGTATAGCTTCAGGTGGATTCACCACTGAGTAGAGGAGAGAGTATATCTATATCTTGTTAGTAGGCAGAAAAACTAGATTAGCTTGTGCCAGATTTGGTACTATACATTGTATTTCCGAAATGTCAGGGCACATACTGTAATTATAACATAGCAGCAATATCACTATTAGATTTTACTCTATCCAAATAATATGAAAACTCTAATACAGAAATGGTTAATCTTCACCTATGTATAATATATTACTGTCCATAATTGCCAAGTCATAGAATCAATCTAAGTGTCCTCCAACATATTTGAAATATATACTTGAGGTAATACTGCACAGCTATGACAAAGGATGAAACAGTGGTATTTGATATAGAATGGGTAGATTTTGAGTGAATATGTTAAGTGAAATAACTCAAAAGGTGAGTTTCACTCACCTGTCAAATATAAATAAGGAAAAACTATACACAGTAAAAATACAGTAGGAATAAATCTTGAACTCAGTGAAATAATTTAATGGTTAACAGAAGGATTAGGGGAGAAGGAGAAAGGGGTTGGAGAGGGAGGTAGACACGATATTGGTATGGTGGCTTGTGGAGGGTAAGTAGAACATGTACATATATGGAAAAACAAAAATATAACCACCAAAATTTTAATAAATTTTTTTAAAAGTTTTAAAAGAATGAAAAGGCAATCATCGTTGCTCTTTAAAATATTTAATTATTAATGATTATAAATGATAATTTTTGAGTGAGCACAGATTATTTTGTACCATCAATAAAAATT